CAGGAGACACATATGCAGGAAACTTCAAAAGTCAAAAAAGTCTTCAACAGCAAAAGTCTTCATTTGCTCTCCATTTCATCTCACAATGCAAGTTTGAGTTTGAGTGAAAGATCTATTTTTTTCACCTTGCTCATCAAGAGTTCCTCAAAAAGAAGATGGACTAAATCAACTGGTCTCCTGATGCTGTGCTGTCTTGTGGACATCTTGTGATCTCAGCCATCAGACTGACCACAGGAGCTCAGAAATGAACCAACAGCACTGTGAGGTGCGCATAAAATGAGTTAAAATAACCCAAAATACATACCAAAAGACCACTGTACTCTTGTCCCTGAAATACTGCGTGCTCAAACACTGAGACTTTATATTTTACAGAAATAATCTTTTTATTTTTTATTTAGTTTGAGTTAGCTTTCCAAAAGTTTTACCTCATTTCCCCATCTATTTCAATCCGGCTTTCTTTCACAAACACCCACATTCAGTGCCTGCAGAGAAGAATATGGCACATATCCAGCATACTGCTTGTGTTTATAAAGAATGATTGTGAAGAATTAAGTCAAATCAGTGAGAGAAATGGCAAGTGGGAATGAATAAAGTGTCTAAAAATGTGTGCTGAATTGAGATGATTACAGCATAAGTCATGAATTTCACAGTGAGATCATGTTGGCTAAATCTGTTTTGTGTTTCTTCATCCAGTGTTTCAGCATGACTTATGGTACTGGCATCTGTTCAGACATTACATGTTCATAGTGAACCCCTCGAGAGGGAACACACCCGTGAGGGGCGGAGCCTAGACTAATTAACACCAGACTACCTCGACGCTGAACGCTAACTCTTTTGTTTTACAACTTTCTTTTGTTTTTGTAGTATTCCTCTCCTTTGTGATTAAATTGGTGTTTCCAATGCAAACTCAGGCTATTTTATTCTATTCTATTCTATTCTATTCATGTATATTTGTTTGTTTCGTATTTTTTCATATGAAACATAAATTTCTAGGCAGGTCCGGGATGATTTATGCTGCTTAGTTTTGGTTTGGAAATAGTTGATGCTGGTTAGTATTGTTTTGGCACTAGTTCGGGCTAATTTAGTGCTGGTTAGAACTGGTCTGATGCTTGTCTAACTGGTGCTAACCAGCCTAGCCATGTTGTTCACCAGCAAAACATGAACCTGTTAAACCATCATGGATGGCTAAGATGCTTTGCTGAAAGCAAAAAAGCAAGAGGTTCTTGTTGATAAGCTGTTGTGATTTTGCTGGTTTGGTACTAGTTATGGCTGGTTAGTGCTGGTCAAGCCGGAGGATGAGCAAAGCCATTCTGTTCAAAGTAAAACAGTATGTTCTTCTTCATCAAGCTGGTTGACGTTCTGGCTAAATCAGTAAAGCAAAAGGTTCTCGCTGGCTTAGCTGGTCAGTTAATGTTTAATTTGGCTGGTTTGGAAGTTTGGTGACTGGTTTATGCTGGTTAGAGCTAATCTGGAGGTGGTTCATTCTATGCTATAGTTGAGTAGAAATAGTTTGGTGCTTGTTATGGCTGGTTAGTGCTGGTCAGAGGGTTATTACTAGTTAAGCTGGTCAGGTAATGTGATTTTGGTGCTTGGTAGCTAGTTTATGCTGGTTAGTACTAAGAATGATTTGGTTCATTCTGGTTAAAGGTTAAGTAATACTAGTTTGGTGTTAGTAATGGCTAGTTAGTGCTGGTCAAGCTGGTTGATTTTCTGGTTAAATCAGTAAAAAGAGAGGGTTCTTGCTGGGTAAGCTGGTCAGCTAATGTGCTTTTGGGGCTTGGTGGCTGGTTTATGCAGGTTAGTTCTAATCTGGAACTAGTGCTGGTCAAGATGGAGGACAAACAAAACCATGCTGTTCCACAGCAAAACAGCATAGTCAGAATATTCTGGTTAAATCAGCAAAGCAGAATGTTCTTTCTGGTTAAGCTGATCAGCTAATGTGATTTTGCTTATTTAGAAGTTTGGTGGTTGGTTTATGCTGGTTGGTGCTAATCTCTAACTGGTTCATTCTGGATCAGAGTTAAGTAGTAGTGGTTTGGTGCTAGTTGTAGTGCTAGTCAAGCTGGTTGACTTTCTGGTTAAATACATACAGCAAAAGGTTCTTGCTGGTTAAACTGGTCAGTTAATATGATTTTGCTTTCTTAGAAGTTTGGGTGGTTGGTTTATGCTGGTTAGTGCCAATCTTGAGCTGGTTCATTGTGATTTAGAGTTAAGTAGTATTGGTTTGTTGCTAGTTATCGATGGTTAGTGCTGGTCAAGCCAGAGGACAAGCAAAACCATGCTGTCCCACTGCAAAACAGCATAGTCAGAATATTACAGTTAAATCAGTAAAGGCTTTTACTGGTTAAGTCGGTCAGCCAATGTGAATTTTGCTGGTTTAAAAGGATGGTTTATGCTGGTTAGTGCTAATCTTGACCTGGTTCATTCTGGTTTAGAACCGGTTTAGTACTGGTTATGGCTGGTTGATCTGGTGGACGAGCAATGCCATGCTGTCCAACAGCAAAAATCATGGTCTTTCTGTTCAAGCTAGTCGACTTGCTGGTTAAGTCAGTAAAGCAGAAGGTTCGTGCTGGTTAAGCTGGTAAAAAAACTGGTCTTGCTAACAAAGAAATTTCAGCATGCCCATTGTCTGTGTTTACAAAGCTAGATGGGACAATAAGTAGTGTTAAACAATTAATGTATCACTATCAAGCCGTCTTTGTTTTGGTTGTATAGTACCATGTATTTTAAGCTTTTAGCTCAACTAAACTGACCACATTTTCCCTGGTGTAGTCGAGAGATCTTTTGACTCTTAGAAAACCTTGTTACGTTGTGAATCTTGCACAACTCTTGCATAAAATATCATCCTTTCCCTCATTCACCTCAGAGAATAAATGAATGAATAACTAATTTCAGTCTGCTGAATTAAGCGACTCAGTTGAATGGAGCCACAAATGAATGGATGAATGAGTGAGTGAATTGATTGATCTCAAGAGAAAGTCGTACAAAAGTTGAACTCGAAATCAACCGCCCCGTTGCGTATTGTGTTTTTGTGTGCGATGGGGGCCTGGAGATGGAGGGAACCGGAATAATGACAGAGGGGATTGAACATGTTTCTTGATCTCTTTTCACCTATTCTCACTGTGAAATGTCAAATTTGAATTGATTGAAAGGAAAATTACAGCTGTATTATGGGATGTCTTGGGGGGAGGGGTGCTGTTGCCACAGAAACTAGATCACTGCTTCTCAAAGTGCTGTTCTCAGCTAATGAGTAAGCAAAGGTCTCATGTCGAGTGGCCCCAAAAAGTATTTGGACCCTTAAAAATGCCTGAAAGTCAGTGCATTAAATAACAAAATATCAACTCAAATGGCATTTATTTTAAAGAAAAAGGTATACTTATTAAGAACGTTTCACAGACATATTGTCAAGTTTTAAGTGAGGGTAGATGCATCTGTAATTTGACATGAACGGAAATGTGAAGGATGTTCAATTGGTTATATTTTGAGGTTTTAGGTCATGTTTAGGAATATTTTTTGTGTTTTATTGACCAAATCAACACTAAATTGCACTAAATTGCACAACAGTACAACTCATTGAATGGACTGTATTTGTGTACTTGACAGACATGTTTTTATAGTCAAATAAAAAAAAAATGACATTTGAGATAACATATTAAGGCTGGCCAATTATATATTCACTAAATATTCACAGTGATTTGCTGGCCATGTAAAATAATGCAGGATTGTGAATATTGTGATGATTGACGGGTTATTTGACTGCGTTGTTAAACTCATTTCACTCGTTTAAACTTTTGCCAGTAGCAAAAATGGCACTGCAGTTATTTCTAAAATCAATTCAAGCTGTCAATTTCAGTAACTGATATAATAGTTCATTTCCATCATCTCTCAAATGTCCACAGCAGTGCTTTATGTTTTACTTTTCAAAGGAAATGCATATACACGACTACTGTTCAAAAGTTTAAGGTCAGTAAGATTTTTTTTTTGTTTAAATAATTATTTTTATTTAGCAGGGATGCATTAAAATAATGCTAAGTGACAGTAAAGACATCATTTTTTTTTTACAAAAAGGTTCTACTTCAAATAAATTCTGTTCTTTTGAACTTTCTAGTCATCAAAGAATCCTGAAAAAACGTATCAGAGTTTCTACAAAAATATGAATCAACTCTTTTGAACATTGATAATAATCAGAAATGTTTCTTGAGCAGCAAATCAGCATATTAGAATGATTTCTGAAGAATCATGTGACACTGAAGACTGGAGTGATGATGCTGAAATTTCAGCTTTGCATCACAGGAATAAATTACATTTTAACATATATTCAAACAGAAAACAGTTATTTTAAATTGTAATAATATTTCAGAATTTTACAGTTTTTACTGTATTTTTAATCAAATAAAAAGTTTCTGACCCCAAACTTTTGAACGGCCATATTGCAATATTAATTAGGATTAATGTTAATTAAGACAAAAATGACACTTGTGAAATGTGAGTGAACTTTTTGATCTATGAATGCCATCTGTGGTTACTCTGCTAGGACACCTGTGTGACGTTTTTGGTGATTTTTAGTGGATTTATGAAGAAAAAGCGTAGAGAAGAGAAAAGATACAACAGCGTTACAGCACAGATGATACTTGTTTTCTTATTTTTCATCAGACATTTTTAAGCATAGCATCAGTGTTGAAATACTGGAGCTGCTGTGCACATCTGAGGTGCACCAGCCTCAGTTTGGGAACAATTAGAGGAATTTTAACCCTTTCATTACCCGCGTGAGCTCGTCTCACATGCCACACACACACACACACACACACACACACACACTGCCGTCGTGCCCCCAGCAGCCTCCCTCGATTGAGAAAGTTAACAGTTTGTTTTTCACAGGGCTGAATGCTTCACTGCACACATTACTGAAGCCCCTTCATCTCCCCCTTTCCTCAGGACGCAGCCCGTCCGCGAGAGGCTGACTAAAATGATTTCTCTCTCTCTCTCTGTCTGTCTGTTAGGAGTGCATTAAACAGATCTGAAGTCTATCGGATGCGCTCCTCTGGAATGAGCCCTTGCTGACACCTTCCTCCTGGTGAGTGCACTCTTTCTGTCCTCATCTGTCCATCCGTGGACAAAACTATCCACTTCCTGTGAGTCTTTTCATCTTGTTGCACTGTGCTTTCCTTTCTTCTTTTTGTCCTGAGAGCAATTTTGCCCACATGTCTTCCCTCCCCTCGTGTCCATCCCGTATCTTTTCCAATTTCGTCCTCTCTCTCCGCGCTCCATCCCGTCTTCCCTCTCTCTCTCTGTCCCCTCCCTCTCTCCGTGTCTTTGTTGAGGTATGCTGATAAACAGTTTGGCTGTCATCTCCAGACCTCCCCCATTGTGTGTCCAATTTTCTTTGTTCTCTTAGCCTGTGGCGCTGGCCTCTGTGTGTGTGTGTGAGACTGACCACTTCAAGTGTGTGTCTGAATAGACGGAGCTACTATGCAAGAATTTAGCCATATTGTCCATAGTGTTGCAGCATTTTGATTGTTTTTGTGTCTGTCTGTCTCTCAGTTCAGTTCAGTTTCAGTTTCAGTTCAGTTAATCTGTTTTCGTTGTCATTGGAGTTAATCTTGTCATTTCTGGCTGTTTGTTCTTTATATTTCTCATAACTGATTTTAGATTAGTCGTTTTTGTTGGGATAATTCTTTTTTTCATTTCGATACAATCAAATTAGTCTTTGTTGTCAGGACAGTTAATTTTGTTGTTCTGTTTTATCTTTGTGTCCCTATATTGTTTCTCTCCCAACTCTCATTTTAATTCAATTTTATTTTTAATTGAATCATATTCATGTTCATTTTGTTTGTCTTGACAGTAATTTGCACTGCAGATATGGAGAAATAACATTTTAATCTAGTGTGTATACTGTAGAATGTGGATTGCTAAGACCTAATATATATATAAACGTTTGGGGTCAGTATTTTTTTTGAAAGAATTAAATTACATAGATCAAAAGTGACAGTAAAGACAATTATAATGAGACAAAAGGTTTTTATTTCAAATAAATGCTATTATTTTCAACTTTGCATTTATCAAAAAATCTTGAAAAATAAAATGTATCACAGTTTCCACAAAAATATGAAGCAGCACAGCATTAATAATCAAAAATGTTTCTTGAGCAGTAAATCAGCATATTAGAATGATTTCTGAAGATCATGTGACACTGAAGACTGGAGAAAGTATGCTGAAAATTCAGCTTTGATCACAGCAATAAATTAAATTTTACAATATATTCAAATAGAAAACATTTATTTTAAATTGTAATAATATTTCACAATATTACCGTTTTTACTGTATTTTTGATCAAATAAATGCAGGTTTGGTGAGCATAAGAAACTTATTTTAAAAACATTAGCACTTTTGAATGGTATAGTTTCTTTATATGAATTTAAATTGATAAAAAATATATAATTAATTTTGCAGCATTTATTAATTTTTGGTTAATGATAATTTATAAATGATTCTTTATTGTTTATTAATTTATTAATTATTTTAATGTTAAACTATTAGTGCTGTCAAACGATTAATCGCGATTAATCGCATCCAAAATAAACTTTTTTGTTTACGTAATATATGTATGTGTACTTTGTATATTTATTATGTATATTACACACACATACAGTATATATTTAGAAAATATTTACATGTATATACATTTATATATTATATTCTTATATTTTATAATATATATATAAATATATTTAATATATAAACATAACATATTTTTCTTAAATATATACATGCATGTGTTTGTATTTATATATACAAAATAAATATACACAACACACACACATATATTATGTAAACAAAAACTTTTATTTTGGATGCGATTAATTGCGATTAATCATTTGACAGCACTATAAACGATATAAAATGTATTGTTAAAAAGTTAAATGCTAGTATATGTAGAAATTAACCATGTTCATTAAATGCTGTAAAAGTAATGTTCATTGCTGGATAAAGCCCACTATTGCATTAACTAGCATGAATTAATGTAGAAAGTTTTTACAGAAAAAGAAAGTCTGAAAGAAAGACTTTTTTTTTTGTTTTGTTTTGAAAAGTCTATGAAATGCTATAAATATAAATAGTGTGGCTGTTGGATGCATTTCATAACAGAATGAATTGCTAACAGAAAACCTAAACAACCACGCTAATGAAAATTCATGCATCTGCAACTTCGAGTCTAAGTGCATGTTGTCCATTATTCAGGGCCAGCCGTCGATGTGCAACAATTCATAAACAAATATGCAAATTTACAGCTGTGAGCTGTGTGTTTTGTATCAAGCTCATATAACGTTCATTTAAACATTCTTTTATATCTCTTTTATATCTGCTTGAATATATTAAATTATTAATACTCTGCTAAGACAGATGCGTCTGTCACAAACCTGACGTTGTCAGTGACACAAAGAGAAAGAGAGATGGACAGAGAAAGGGAGAATGAGTGAAACGTGAATGGCGTGAGGATGGACACAATAAAAGGCCGGTCTTGTTGCCGTGCTGTTTAAGATTCGGGTCCGTGGTCAGGGCTGAGTGAAAGTGCTCAGCTTTGGCGGATGACCACGTGCTCGCTCAGAGCGCCCGTAAAGCTCAACGGACTTCATTCACGTGCTAAAGAGCCCCTGCTTTGACAGATAGTTGGCCGGTCGCACAGAGAAGGCTTTCACGCAGAGACAGTGAAGGAGTGGAAGGTTTAGGGGGGAAAAAATAGCAAACAAGGACGCATCTGAAAAGGCAAACACTTTCAGAAATATAACAAATATCCGTGGAACTGCTCATTTATTGGCTGAGTCTCACCGTACATCTATCTCAGGACGCTCAGGTTGGCGTTGGCTCTCGGCGGCAGAGGCTGCTGGCCCGTCTTAGTGCCCTAACTAGGGTAGTGCACGGAACTCCAGCTGCGTGAATGGGAATACAGTTCGTTCAGGGTCTCTTTTAAGAGATAAAGGTTTCGGTTGTGTGACCCCTTTCAGCGTTTAGAGAAATGTTGGGGATTGAGGGTGGCTGGGGTCTCATGGGCAAAAACTTGTTCTCTGTGGGCAATGTTTTGTTGAGAAGTTTATCTGGTATTTTTGTGAGTGAATCTAGCTGCGAGAATTAGCTTAAATTACATGCACTCTGCAAATGATGTGCATCTACAAGACAGAAGGTCTTCATCCTGTGCACATCTTGTTTTCTGTCATGTTTGACGTGTGCAATCACAGACTACGGACTTCATTCATGAAATGCACACAGAACGAATTTCTCTGTAAATCATCCGTAAAGCATTCTTTGGAAATTGTTGCACTGAATGGAATGTGACAATTTATGTAAAGATGGTTTTACAGATGATTCATACAGAAAATTTGTGCTTGCATTTCACGAATGAGGCTGTAGATGCATTGATTAGAAGAACAACATGGCAACAAACAACATGGTCTTACAGTTTTGAGGCTCTTCAGATGATAAATCATACACACATTTACTCCCACAATATTATTGGCTGTAACTGTGCGCGCACCTCATGCAATTTGCGAAAACAATCCTAAATAAGTATTTGTTTTTCCTGTATTTTACAGCGTATTAGTGATAAGAGACCTCTTTCAAAAACGTCTTAATGTTGGTGTATATGTGTGTGTGTGTGTGTATATATATATATATATATATATATTTATACACACATACTTCAGTAGTTTGTAGTAATTTTATTTTTACAGCATTTATTAATCTTGGTTAATGATCATTTATATATGATTCTTTATGGTTTATAAATATAATTTATAAATTCATCACTTCATATTGATTCATTGACTAATGTAAACATATACAACATTTATTGTTAGAAAAACAATTAACATTAACCAATTTTGTAAATGCTGTAAAAGTAATGTTCATTGTTGGGCGATGTTAGGCTAATTAACTTCAATTGCATGCACTCTGCAAATGAAATATTGTGACGATGTCATCACAAAAATAAATAAATTAGCATCTATTCAATTCTTTTGAATCCATTACTCATTCAATATTAGAAATATCTTTCATCATCAGTAATATGTTAACAGTAAGTATTAATCATCATTCATTCTCATCATTCATGTTAACCCAATCAGAACACTAAATGCATGTAGCATTAGTAAATATTTCTGTAGTTCCAGTCATCTGGGTGGTTACGGTACGAGTTCCGCCCTCGGATGTACCTTTATTAGTTGATGACGTCCGTTTTGGTAGGATGGCGGTGGCCAAGCGGCAAGCAGTATCTCGAGAAGCTCTGAAGATTCACGCGGCGTTTCTGTTGTTTTACCGCGTTGAAAGTTAAGTCCGTCGGCGATTATAGCGATCCAACAACTTCACATTTGCTGGATTACTAATCACTTCATCACACTTTGCTGGATGCCAAGTAGATTGTTGTTTAAACGCTGCAAGGATGCCGTTGAGCAAGTGTGTATTTTGACATGGACTGACGGATCGGGAGTCTGAAAACTATCAATCTCAACGCTTAAGGAGTCACAGAGTCACGGAATTGAATCGGACTTTCTGGAAAACGAGGTTGTGAGTAAAATACAGCGGCTGTGGATACTGTTGACGGTTGACTGATAATATTAGTATTACTTTTTTTGTGTGTGTGTGCCACTTTGACTATTGGGAGTTCATTTGTGCTGATGATTATATCAGAAACTGAACGGAATGTTTTGGGCTTGAATTGATCTATTTTCCTTGGCTGGACTACATTGCTTATGCTATGGACAATTTCTAATGAACTGCTTGCTCTCCTTTTCTGTGCATTTATTATGTTTTGTCTGATTTGATGAACTTTTGAACCTTGAATATACTGATCTGAAAACTGCAAAAGGTGATTTGTGTTCAATGTTATTTTTTATGTTGAAGGTTTTTTTTCCCATTTGTAAAATTTAAGGATTTCCTAACTCACAAATTTCAGGGTATGTGGCTATTTAGTTACACAGGCCTTTGTATGTTTCTTGACTTAGACTGACTTGACTAAGTTTGGTTTGATTAAACGACAGAAACTCTGTCTGGCACCCCAGCATTTAAAAAGAAAATAATTTTTTC